TGAATTAGGTAAAAATAAAAATAAGTAACCTTAGAAATATTTTTCTGATTGCTTTGGTTGAATTTACCTTGAAGATCATTTTAGCTATTTTTCATTCATTTTTTTCTTTATTCTTCGAAAAATATATATTATAGACGTAATTATTTTCACAATTCAGCAGAATCAATCAATCCAACCACTTAACCCTGAACTTCATAGATTTCACAAAAAGTAATCAATTCAGTCAATTTTTGTGTTCTCAAATAGGTTCTAAATTGTGGCAGCTGGATTTTTTAGAACAAGGAAAACAAAATTGCAGACTCGTGAAGTAGTAATATATGGAATATGATTGATTTGATTCTTCAAAATTATTAGGAAAAAATTGTAAACTTAAACAAAATTAAATACTCCGTACATGCGAACTACTAAGAGCATCCACAATGGGAGACTTTCTAGTCTATTTAAAAGATGCCACATAATGAAATTAGACATTGTGTATGTAGTTTCTTCTCCAATGCGGATAATGTGGAATAGGTTTCTGCTGAGTTGGCAAGAAAAAACCCAGTGCTTAGAGCATCTCCAATGCTACAATGTGCACGGTGCACATGTGGCATTAGAGAGATAGACACAAAATATTGATTTTATGACATTTCTCTCTCTGTCTTTCCACGGTCTTATGTGTTTTTGGTAAGTTTTTCTCTGCAATGTTAACCACAATGTCTACATCTAGACATTCTGCTTGACATTGTGAAGAAAAACTTACCAAAATGATATAAGATCTTTCAAATAAGGAGAGAGGTATTCTATTTATTGTTTTTTCATTGGCTATTTCTTATGCCACGTATGCACCGTTAACGTTTTAGCATTGAAGATGCTCTTATACCGTGGAATCGGTGCATGGTGAGCACGATGCACCATTTGTTATTTTTTATTTCTCATTTTCTTAAAATTGTTAATAATTTTTTTATTTTTGATCCGATTCTTATAAAATTTATATCATTTTTTTTATTTTTCATGATCTTTTACATTCATACATTTTTTAATATAATTCCTATGTAATTTTAATTTTTTACATTCATACATTTTTTGTAATATATTTTTATATTCATATACTTTTTCTATAATATTTTTTTATCACTTTTATATGTTTTTAGAGATTTTAAGATATTGAGTTTGTTTATTTTGCTTCTAGCTTGGAGTTACATTTGATAATATACGAAATTACATCATCTTATACTCCAGTTACAAGTTATTATGTGTGAGTTACATTTTGTTATGTGTGAGTTACATCTTGTTATACACGAGTTACATACTTTTATGCGCGAGTTACATGTAATTATGTGTGAGTTATATCTAATTATTTGTGATTTTTTACTTATCTTTATCTTGAACTAATTCAATTATAACTGAATTAATGTTTTTCTTTGCCAATTTAATACAAAATTTTATTAATCCACATAAAATAAGTATTTTGTATTTCATAATCATACACTATTTTTCAAATGATAAAAATGAAAGATGTAGCAGGGGTTTATTTCGTGGTGTAACTCACATACATTAAGATGTAACTCGCGTACAATAAGATGTAACTCACGCAAAAGAAGATGTAACCTCATGATATATTATCAAATGTAACTTCAAAATAATTTGTTAAAATTACATAAGCAATATTGGTCTCATTTGATAGATCATGAAAAATAAAAAAATTTGATATAAAATTTATGAAAATCGGATATCAAATAAAAAAGTTATTACAATTTTTAACAATAAAAGAAATAAAAAATAATGAAATGAAATTGCAGCTGCGTCGTTTTGAATGAGGCCATCATCGTTTTGCAACCGGACGCACCATCCTCATGGTGCGCCGGTTGCACGGTATAAATTGCAGAAAAAACTACACACTGTTGAGATAAGTCTCAGTGTGGATGCTCTAAACTGCTTCCCTGTTTTTGCTGAGCATAGTGATTTGTATTTTATGTGAATGAATTGAATTGAATGAGATAGATCCACGTGGCAGGAGCATAGCAATGGAGTGAAATTTGAAAAGATAGACACGTGCCAGCTTTTTTAAGTGTAAAATGGTATTTATATTAGCTATCTCCTTTCTTATATATAAAATAGAATAGATCTTCTAGTTGCTAGATTAGGAATTATATGAAACTCTCATTTTTCGTAAGTCTATCTCTTTGTATGTACATAATTCGAAGTCCATAGCAATAACTAAATTCAAATATATTCACATGATAATAATATTAATAATAATAATATGAATACTAAGAATAATAACATTTTTACATTATTAACACGATTTTCAATATTGTATCACTTTGTAAATAAGTATATTTAAATTTCTGATTCTACGAATAGTGTGGCATTTTTAATTGATTTTTTCTCTCTTATAAACCAGACCAGAATAAATAGAATAGAACAAACATAAATAATTTTAATTTTTGAATATGCTTTTAGTCCATGAAATGTAATACATTCTGTTTTACATCTTTGCAAATAATTTTTCTTGAAGTCATATTTTTCTGTTATTTTTAATTTGATCATATATTAGGAATTATGGAGTACTTTTTAATTTAATGCTGAATACTTCGTAGTGAAGGTGGAAAATAGAAATGTTACCTAATGTACCTTCATTTTTTTTTAAATTATATATATTAAATATTGATGTCATATGAAAGATAAAAAATGTTATAAAATTTGATATATGTTTTGTAAAAGTTGAAACAAAAATGAAAAAGTTAAAACACTTTAAAGAAAACAGAGGTTTTTTATACTTGGGCCCACCAATTACATTTCTCAATTGGTCACATCTTCAAGTGCTTATACTTTGGGATCGTTGCATCGTGAGCACCATGCATCCTTTGTTATTTTATATTTCACCTTTTCTTAAAATTGTTAATTAATTTTTTAGTTTTGATCTGATTTTTATAAAAGTTATATTAAATTTTTTTATTTTTCATGATCTTTCAAATGAGACCAATATTGCCTATGTAATTTTAATTTTTTACATTCATACATTTTTTGTAATATATTTTTATATGCATACACTTTTTCTATAATATATTTTTTTATCACTTTTATATGATTTTAGAGGTTTTTAAGATATTGAGTTTGTTTATTTTGCTTCTAGCTTGGAGTTACATTTGATAATATACGAAGTTACATCATCTTATACTCCAGTTACAAGTTATTATGTGGGAGTTACATCTTGCTACACATGAGTTACATACTTTTATGCGAAAGTTACATGTAATTATGTGTGAGTTACATCTTGTTATACACGAGTTACATACATTTATGCGCGAGTTACATGTAATTATGGGTGAGTTATATCTAATTATTTGTGATTTTTTATACTCATACACTATTTTTCAAATGATAAAAATGAAAGATGTAGCAGGGGTTTATTTCATGATGTAACTCACATACATTAAGATGTAACTCGTGTATATTAAGATGTAACTCACGTACAATAAGATGTAACTCGCGCAGAAGAAGATGTAATTTCATGATATATTATCAAATGTAACTTCAAAATAATTTGTTAAAATTACATAAACAATATTAGTCTCATTTGATAGATCATGAAAAATTAAAAATATTGATATAAAATTTATAAATATTGGATATCAAATAAAAAAGTTATTACAATTTTTAACAATAAAACAAATAAAAAAAATGAATGTTGCGTCGTTTTGGGATCGGGCGCACCATACTCACGGTGCGCCGATCCCAGGATATAAACTACGCACATCTTCCTTGTGTGTTTAGGACTTTTCGGTACGTAATAATAAGGTATGATTATTTGAGGGTAAAAGTGTATTTTAATGAGGTATTTCTTTTCTTATATATAAATAGAAAATAGATAGGGAGTATTATTCATGCCCTTCCCGCTATATTATACGTAGTACTATGTACTACAGTACTTAGGTATTACATATTGAATGGAATTAAAAAATACACATTGTTAGTAAAAAACACAAATTACAAAATACAATGTTTTGCTTCTACTTTTTTGCCGACCAACAAAGTTAAAATTAGACAAATTAGTTAACACACCATTAATTTATTAATTAAAAATCCAGCTACTGTATTAAGATGCCATTAAAAACCAGAGACAGCCTTTAGTCAAATAAGTGGCCCCCCTCTTGTAGTTGAAAATAGAATCACACGTCCACACTTACCGGACTGAGTTGGAAATAGTTAATTTATTAGTTATAAATAAAATTTGAAAAGGTTTTTGAAAACGTTCTCGAAATAAAAATAAAAACATTTTTAAATTTCAATAGAAAATTATTGTGTTATTATTAATTAAATAGGAGTAATTAATACTCCCTCCGTCCCCCAATTAAGTTCCCGGTTTGACTTCACACATATTAAGAAAATAAATCTGACTTTACTGTGAAGTGCACTGTTTTGCATTGTTTTACACTGTTTGGACACTGTTTTGTACTGTTTGACACTGTTTTGATGTAGATAATTTGCCAAATAAGAAAAGTAAGAAAGTGTGAACTTAATTTAGAGACTGCCCAAAAAGGAAAGTGGTAACTTAATTGCGGGACGGAGGGACTAATATGTTTTGGGTTAGACATCAACTAAGGGATTAGGGATGGCTATGTTGTCAATACTAACACCGTAAAAAACAGGGATGGCTATGTTGTCAATACTAACACCATAAAAAACAGAGGGAGTAGCTTATTTGAACTCATATTTTTTTATTTGCAAAACGATGACACTCCATCTCTGAAGTCTCAATATCGATCGAATATATATTGAGAGGATTAAAATTAGATTTTAATTAAAAACCGGTAGATAGCGAGTGAGACTCTCTTACCCAAGTATCTACCCAAACTAATATTCAAACCTGAAACTTATCACAAGAGATTCATTATCTGCGCTATATTTTTTGTTTGCAAGATCCAAATTCCAAAAGCAAGGTAGGCAGGTCCCACAAATTTTGAATACAAATCTTTTACTCCGTATTGTGTATAAAAACATACATAAACGCAGATCCCAATGAAAATGGTGGGATACTCTACTCAGCATTACTCAGCATTTTGCAAGCTAAAACCTCATTCTCTCTGTTAGTTCATAGGGGACTAACTTTTTTTTTCAGAAACACAGAGATTGGGAGATAACAAGCTGCAGCTTGACAGTAGCTATTAGTCGTTATATCTTTCCGCTCAATGGTTGAGTTTTCTTGAAACTTTAAAACTTCTTGGAAAGCAATCAATCGAAGGATGAAGTTCATGAATGATCATAACATCAATGCAGCTGCTAATAACGCTCACCTGTTAGGCTTCTCTCTCTTACCCGCCATGAAAATGGAAGCTAACAACCCCAGCCCCCCTTCTTCCGAATCTGAAGCTTCTTCATTGGCTACAAGCTTCTACCCTTCTCCTTCTCCACTCCACACTGCTACTTCAGGCAGTCTCTGTTTCTCTCTTTCTGAAACTGGTGGGTTCCATTCACCTTTGTCCGCCATGCCTCTCAAATCCGACTCCTCTCTTTGTATCATGGAAGCTCTCTCCAGATCTCAAACACATTGTGTGCATCTTGAAACTCACTAGTCATTACCCATCCCCTTCAAAGACTTGTTTTTTATAGTTTCATTTTCTTGATTAAGACTGTTGGTCTTCGTTTACTAATATTAATAGTTTTTATTTGAAAAAAGGTATGGTGCCTAGTTCCAGTCCCAAGCTAGAGGACTTCTTGGGCGGTGCAACAATGGCTGATAATCAATACGAGAGGGAAACCAGTGGTCTTAGTTTGGACAGCGTATACTATCACCAACAAGAAGAAGCTGATAGGCAAAGGACTGCAAGCTTCCATTTACACCCACAAAACCACCATTCTAATTACTACTATAGCCCGCAAAGTCATCAAATGTCAGGAAATGAGCTGAAAAACTGGGTTTCTGTGGGGCAATTTGGGCAAGAGGCCCCACACATTTCTTCTGGTGGTGGGGTTGGGGGTATGATGGGGTTTAATGATTTTCAGCCTTTGAGCCTTTCAATGAGTCCTGGTTCACAGTCCAGCTGTGTTACTGCTACTAGGCAAATCTCTCCCAATGATTTTGAATATGTGGCCATGGAGAGCAACAAGAGGGCCTATGAGGAAGTCACACCCAAACAGCCCATTCACAGGAAATCCATAGACACCTTTGGTCAAAGAACCTCTCAGTACAGAGGTGTAACAAGGTCAGTTGACAACAAATCTTGTACTACGTATTTTATTTAACTTAAAAGTGTTTGATGTTTAATGCTGCTGGTAAAGACTTTTTACCCTTGATTAATGGTGTCCTAAAAATGACTGAAACAGACATAGGTGGACAGGGAGGTATGAGGCACACCTATGGGACAACAGTTGCAAGAAAGAAGGGCAGACTAGGAAAGGAAGGCAAGGTCAGTTTTTGTTGTTTCCTTTTCCCCTTCAGATTTCTGGCCACTCATTTTCTTCATGGTCTGACTTTTTTTGATCTTTTTTGGCATGTGTGTTCTTGTTTGGATACTATGCTTACTCTAACCAAATGGTTCCATTTAGTGTATTTGGGTAAGATGCTTGGCTGCTTCTTTTCAAGTAAGGTTTTGAATAATGCCAAATAAAAAGTCTAAACAATATTGTAAATCTGTGTTTTCAGGAGGGTATGATATGGAAGACAAAGCTGCAAGGGCGTATGATCTTGCTGCTCTCAAGTATTGGGGGCCTTCTACACACACTAACTTTTCGGTATGATATACAATTTAGTTCAACATTCTCTGGGCTTTTAGTATAACCGCTCCCCCCCCCCCCCCCCACATTCTGACTGGGTACTTTTTTTATTGCAGCTGGAAAACTACCACAAAGAGCTTGAAGAAATGAAGAACATGACTCGCCAGGAATATGTTGCCCACCTGAGAAGGTAAGCCTGTGCAAAGATAATAGTGTTGTGATTTATTACCATCTTTCTATTACGTAGTAATATTTTTTGTCACTAATTTGGTTCCTATTATTCCAGAAAAAGTAGTGGATTCTCTCGGGGTGCTTCAATATATAGAGGAGTTACAAGGTTCATAAGCTTTCACTTTAAAATAAATGAAAATACCATTCCTACTCTTCAAAAATGAAAGTTTCATATTTACTTGAAATAGTGAGTAACAGTTTTATTCTCATTTAATAGGCATCATCAACATGGACGTTGGCAAGCTCGAATAGGCAGAGTTGCAGGGAATAAGGACCTTTATCTGGGGACATTCAGTGAGTGTTCGCTTCTTCTTACACCTGATTAGTGTATGTTACTAGTCTTACAGATGACATGTTTGAAAGAAAGAAAATGTTCCACTTTTTGTTGTTCCACGGCTATTAGTTCTTTCCACTTTTAGTCCATTAAACCCTTTTCACTTCTTTGTTGCAAATCAACCGGAAAGTTGTGGGGTGGGTAAGTGACGTGCAGGACCAAAAGTTGTTAGAAATCTATATTTATTCCCCAAAAGCAGAAAAAATGAATGTCTTGGACTATAAGCAAAAAAAAATCATGAAAGAAGAATAGTACTGTAGTTTGTCTTAGATTGCTTTAGACTTTGCATATTAGTAGTAAATATTAGCTTGAACCCGCCTCTCTTTCGAGCTGTTTCCTGATGCTTTGGAGTTTTGACACTTGTTTACTGCCATAATTATGTTGTTGACAAAATGACAGGCACCCAGGAAGAAGCTGCTGAAGCATATGATATAGCAGCAATCAAATTCCGCGGTGTTAGTGCTGTCACAAACTTTGACATGTCGAGATACGACATACAAAAAATCCTGGCCAGCAATTCTCTACCAAATGCGGAATTAGCAAGGCGCAAAAAAGACCTCAACCCCATTGAGTGTGACATGTCAGCTCAAGAGCAAAAAAGGATAGAATGTGTTCAGCTTGGACATGGTGGTGGTGGGAGAGTGGCTTTGTATAACCATAAGCAGAAGGAACAAAATGAGGAGAAGAGTCATTGCTTGTCCATGGCTATGCAAAATTCGATTGGGATGGATGAAACAAACAAGCAGATGGTGATGATGATGATGATGATGAGTAGGCAGCAACAGTTATCCAACGCTTCCTCATCTGCGGTGACCAGTCTGAGCAGCTCAAGAGAAGATAGTCCAGCTTCAAAGCCTGAGACACAGGAAACCCAATTCTTGATTCCCACAACCAATGTAAATGCCGCCTACGTTTCGTCTCCTCAGCTGAGGGCTATCCCACCTTCTATGGCTAACTTCCCTCTGTTTACAGCTTGGAATGAAAATCAGCAGTGATCACAGTGACCAAGCTGTGTACAACTAACTCTTAATGTTCAGCTTTGGTCATACTGTGATCAAGATTTTGCAAAAAATATATGGAGAAGATGGGGTTTTGAAGATCATGTTGTATGGCACTTGGATAATTTGAAATGAAACATAATATGGTTATATGGATGTGACCCCATTGATGAAATGATGATCATTGCTTTTTTCCTGCATTTTTCTAGTTTCTCTAGACTACAAAAACCACCTCAATGGTTTTCAATAATGCAAAGAGAAAGAAAAAAAGGTGAAGCTAAAATCCTTTAGTTTGACCAAATCACGGTTTGTCCAATCTTGATTTAGACCATCATTAATTTTGATCTCTTTACAAATGCATTAGACATTCCGTCTCCTTATTCAAAAAGCGCGTGAGACAAGACAGAGAGATGTGCAGATCATATGGCACTCTCTCCGCTATTAAATAATTAATTAATGGTCTATTAACAAAAGATACTTTGTATATAAATGCTTGTTCATTTGGAAAGTTCAGAGTGTAAAATAGTGTAAAGTCATTAAGTTCTCATCTTTTGCTTATTACTTTCAATTCTTAAAAATTAATAGGAGTATTATCATCCATGGGTGGACCTATGCTTGATCAAAAGTGTGAACACCCAAAATTTTGAACTTTAAGTGTAAGATTACATGTATATGGGAGCCACCGCAAAAATTTATATATGTATATGAACACCTAGAATCTATAAAATAATTTTGAACCTTCAAAATTATTGTTCAAGATATGCACTGTCATTATCAATTCAAGAAAATTAAAAATCACTTTTAAAACAATAATTTAATCGTAATGAGCCTCTATTTAGACAAGGGGTGCATGGTTATTAGAGGATTACTTTATCGGTCGAAATCTATGATTAAAGATCATAATCATGATTAAAGATCATAATCTATGATTAAAGATCATAATCATTAGATTTATATGTTTGGGGAATTTGTATATCCTTTTTTGTTATTTTAAAGCCGTGTTTTCATGATCATTGCCAATTTCTTTCTTGTATCATTTTACAAGTCAGGTCTTGTAGCATTCAATGGCATCATTGGGAAAATAATTAAGACGAAATATCCATTGACAACTAGCAATATTGTATGCATGAAAAGTTTCAATTCTAGAAGATCATAAATTCATAATACTCATGGTCCATTGCATCCCTCTAGACTCTAGTTAGGGTGGCAAAGAGCTTGAGTGAATGTCTTGAGTTTTGGAGTGAATCCCTACACCCACACATATAAATTCGATGTTGTGACGAGTTTAAAAATATTTTCATCTCATGTACGAGACAATCTCTGAACTATTCAAGGATGACCAGCGATATAATGACTTGTGGAACACCTTCTATGGAGGCTGATAAACATTCAGTGTCGCGAGGGCGTAGCCAGGTTGATAAACATTCACCGTCGGCGCAGGGCGTAATGGGGATTAAAGCTTGGGGTGGGCTACATAGAGTTTTTCACATATATTTTTACACTAAAAATACAAAACATTTTTAAATTTGGGGTGATCCGGGTCCCAGTTGCCCCCTCCCCCCCTCCCCCGAGTGTAGCTTAATCACATTAGTAGATATCTTTGATTCGTCAAGCGTTATAAAAAGAAATACGAGACGTTTCTTTATTAAGTGACAATGGATAACTTATGAAAAAATATAACCCACTACAAAATAGTAACCTACTCACCTTCGCCAACATTGTTTTTTATCGAAAGGCCCAAAGCCGTCCTCGGTGAATTTAAGGACCTAGGTAAAAGAGCACCACATTAATTATACAAACAAAAAGAATAAGAAAAACATTCACATAACACATACTCCCTCGGGTCAATAAAGCTTTTCCATGTTGAATCTTCTTAATCAATGATGGTCAAATTTACCCCATGATAAATGTTAATACATACAAAGTTATTTAAAATATAAAAGATATATGGAAAAGTTCTTTGTAAGAGTTACATTCATAAAAGTATAAAATTATAAATTTCACACAAATATATGGAATAGCCAAAATTTACAATCATTAACAAAAAAAGTCAATTTGGCCAAATTTTATTGAATGGAGAGAGTAATTGTTTTATATGTACTTAAATTTTATCCCTCTTCAATAGAAAATGTTATATATTTGTTTATAGCATAAAGAAAATAACATTTCCGAACAATGAGCAGATGAATAAGAATAAATAATACAAAATTTCCTGCTGCACAACTTCAAGAAAAGATTTGATTATTTCAAGAAAAATTAAAAAACTATAATTCATTTTTTATTGCAACATTTTGAATTTTACACTATTAAAATGCTTTGATTTGACTATGTTTTATTTATTAATTTATGATTTTTTTAAAATATTGTTTAAGTATTCTCTTTATGAATTTTCAAAACCTGTTTATTTTTTTACTATTAAAAAATAAGATATATTGACCGTCAAGTGTGTGCTTTGAAATATGTGCAAAGTTGAATGTTGCAACAAAAAAAAGAACAGAGGAAATACTACATCCGTCCCAGAAAATTCTTCCCACTTTAACTTGATCCGGAGATTAAGAAAGTGGAATAAAGTGAAAATGTGTGGTTGTAGTTGTGTAAGAAAAATGTGAAATAAATGTGAACCACACAAATTGTCCAAAAATGATAAGTGAGAAGAATTTTATGGGACGAAGGGAGTATCATTTTTAGAAACGAAGAACTTTTTTATGGCCCAAAAATGAAGTATCAATTATGATAGCTTTACCACATTATAATCACTTTCTTATTAATGAATAGTACAACAACATCCAAGCCTTATGTAGTGTTTGTTAAAATTTAGAAAGTGCTTTTCAGTTTTTGACAAAAAACTGAAAATGGTGTCTTCAAGTGACAGCTTCTGCTTAAATTAAGCACTTAAAAATTAAAAGCTGAAAGCATATGGAAAGGTGCTTTAAATTGTTTTGCACTTTTTCTATTATACAAAAAACACTTATTTTACCAAAACCACCAACTTTCATTTTTTCAAAATCGTTTTTTCTCAAACACTACCAAATTTTATTATTAAGAATTTCCTCCAAAATCACTTTTGTGAAGTAAAAGCAATTACAAACACTCCCTTAATCCCAAACAACTTTGAAATCGGCTAACATCAACTATGGGTGGACTCGGGCCTAGGCCCGGGCGGACCACCGGTTCAGAATAGTTGGGCCCGGGACCGGCCCGGGTAGCCACCGGATTCGGGCCTCGGGCCGGGCTGGGTCTCGGGCCACTTCCTATTTTTTTTCTAATTAATCCCCTAATACCTCCCCCTCACCCCCACCCCCCTCACCACCCCAAATGGCACAAAACACCCAACCCAACCCTGAAAAATAAAAAAATTGAAAAAACAAAAAAATAAATAAAATAAAAGACCGGAAACCGGGCTGGTTCATCATTTGGCGGACCTGAGCCAGCACCGTAAAACCACCGGGCCGGGCCTTCCCGGACCGGTCCCTGGCCGGGCCACTAGGCCGGACCAGGCCAGAACAGTACCGGTCCCGGGCCGGTTCCGGGTCGGACCACCCGGCCCGAGTCCACCTCTAACGTCAACCGGTACACAATATCAAATTTAAAAGAAAAAGGAAGATAAAAGATATGATGAAAACGACAAAATAGAGATAATATATACGGAGTACCTAGGAATAAATTAATGAAAAACATAAAAACAATTTCTCCCGACATCATTAGATGTAGATTTCGGAGCCAATGTGACCGTACTCACCAAGAGCTTCATGAATACGTAACTTAGACGTGTCTCACATTTACTCGTTAGATTAGCCATGATCTTCCTTAGATTAGCTTAGTCTCTAAATTACTACTTGTTATAAATACCTCTTTCAACATGTAGAAAAGTGTCTTTGTTTAGAGATTTGTATTATTGTTCTGTCAAATTGAGTACAAATTTTCTCTCTAACTTACTACTCGCTTTGCTATTTAGTTACTAACTCCACTCCGAGTTTCATAACGCAAGAGAATTAGTGTTCCCTATATTCTATAACTTTTTCAATTCTATAATACTCCCTCCGTCTCGTTAGGATTGTCTCGTTTTACTTTATGAGAAGTCTCACTAAGATTGTCCCATACTAAATTTGGTAAAGATTTTGTGTCTCCAAATCATTCTTAATTTATTCTTATTTTATCAATTTAATATCAATCACACAAACTCACTTTTCTTAATAATCGTGTCACCTTCTCTTGTTACAATCTTAGTGGGATGGAGATGGTAAGTTACAATCATTGCGCACTTAAACAAATTCAATTTGAAAACATGTTAGATATATCAAGTGTAATGGGTGAAAAGAGCATATAAAAATGATTTGTACTACTGTTCATGTAAAAATTCAATTCAATTTGTACTACTAAAAGGTTCAGTAGATGTTCATGCTTCATATAAAGTGATCGATCTCACTATTTGTAGCCCACAAATGTAAGCGTTTAACCTCAGGCAGGCCCAAATTTGTTGAGTCCGCGTTTGGTTTCAACTTTCAATTAAACTACGGAGTACTTTATAAGCTAATGAGAAATTCTATTCACACTCACTAATTGAATTAATTCCACTTTAGGTCATCTGAGTTTTGTGTCATTTTCATATTTAGTACTCGTCTTTCACTTTATCCATTTTTGGTACTTGACTATTGTTTTCTTGATCATTTGTGATCCATTTCTGAGCATTTTTACTATTGGAAAAGGACTATATATGGTCAAGAAAACAATAGTCAGGTATCAAAAATGGATAAAATGAAAGACAAGGACGAATTGTGGAATTGTTTCAAAACTCGAAGGACCATAAATGAAATTTCTTCCTCACTAATTTGCTAATTACAGCCACACATGTTTTGTCATTCCAAATTTTCAATTATATCCTTGGCCCGTTTTCTTGATGCCGGTGGAATGGTTAGTGTATTGATAGTCATGATGAATCGGCCGGACACAAGGAGCTTGGAAAGGAAGCTCACCATCTCAATCGGTTGTTCATGACCATAGATCTAATGTTCCTCGAAAATCTCTAGCTCTAAGCCGTACATATGAAAAATGATAGAAGTACAAACACACTTACAAAAAACTTACAAATAAATGATGTGGCTATTCTAATTATCATTGATGTGAAAGTGTTGTAAATGTGATGTGATGTGTTAAATAATGTGATGATGCCACATACCCCTTTGTAACACTTTTTGTAAAAAAATTTGTACGTCTA